ATATATATATATATATATATATATATATATATATATATATATATATTTATATAACTTGAAAATTACATACGCAAATTTTTTTTTATTGTAGACTAAAGTACTGATTAACTTTAACATAATATAACATTTATCGATATGTTTATATTTATATGTATGTATGTACATATATAGTGTGTACATACAAATTTTTTATGATTATATGTATTGTAGGTATGTACATACACAAGATAATGCAATTTTCACACAAAATAATGCGACACACTGTATCATAAGAAACCACATTCATTTGTCTTATTCTGTTATTCAACTATTATTCAAATGATAATTTATTTTATTTTACGTTAAATAGTTTCAAAGACATGGAACACAAATAATACTATATTTTTAGTAATATTTTTTATTTGCACATGCAGTGACAAATATTTACCGTATTATTTTATTATATGTGATATATTTCTTTTCCAGTCAAATTAGTACAATTGCAACATTAGTTAGTAATTAGTTAATTCTTGTGGCTTGCGGCTTGAGGCCTTAGGCTTGTTCTACAATACGTCGGTTGGTGTCTCAAGCTGCAAGCCACAAGAATTAACCAATCACAGACGAATGTGGGAAGAATACTTGATTATTGGCCTATTGGTCCATTCTTGATGATTGGCTCATTCTTACGGTTCACAATCCACGACACCGACATACGATGCATTGTAGAATAGAACTTAGAAACGATTAACTACGCATTTTGGCTACCATTAGCTACTAATCACTTATATTACTAATTTTAGAATGGCTATGGTAACCGAGGTAAAATATTTTGGAACGTATCCCTGATTAAACAAGTTTGTAGAGCTTTTCGATTATATTCTGTGTGAAACGGACTTTATCAGCGGTTCTCATATTTCTTATTATTTGAACAAAAAATTTTGCAAAATCTGATAACGAGTTTATTCGCGCGTTAATTTTCAAAATATGGGAATGTATATTGAATATTTTGTATAGCAATAAAATGCGTTGCTATTGATACAATTTTTATTACATTTTTATTACATTTTTTTATTACATTGTTCTTTCGATCTAGAGTGAGATTCTCGAATTTATCGATTGAACTTTCCGTGGCCATTTCAATAAACAAGAATTGCGAAATATTGCGAATCGCGATATTGCGGACGCTCCTTAAGAAGAACCCATAATTCTTCATCGCTTGTACGCGTTCGTATATAGTACATGACGAAAGTGTATGTATGCTCGGTTGGGATCATCTCCGAGTCCTAAGTTTGACAGATGACCGATTGTCACTGTTTGATAAAGTGAGGATCGAGAAAAGCAAGCCGACATGGAGGCAGTGCCCAGATTGCCGATGATATGGTTCCAAGTAAAAGTCAGTCCGGAACCAACCACTTTCGGACCGAAGCTCAAACAGGTAGAAATGTCGCGAGTTTTACGTCTAATTTCTTTTTCTTTTTATATCTAATTAATAAAATATTCGCTGTTGCGTCATTTGCACCGAAGTTTAACATTCTGATAAAAGTAATTTGAAATTATAGTTGTCTCCATCGTTTTCATCTACGATGTCTTCTTTGCTTCTCCTATATTGTTTTCTTAATTTTCTTACAGTACATAAGAGATTTTTACAATGAGGACCCTGAGTCATACAACAATGAAATACATCAGTTGGAAAGTTTACGCTCGATGGCAGTTAGACCTCCTGTCGATATGGCTGGCTGTGTACTATTAAAGAAATATTATTGCCAGTTGCATTTTCTTCAAAGCAGATTTCCCATGTACAAGGATGGCCCTGCTGCAGTCACATTTACATGGTACAAAATCCATTTTTCTTTTTATTCTAATTTGATTGTATTTAATTATTTGACATTTAATCTAATTATATATTTATATAATTTAAAACTACAGATTTTGTCTTGAGATAAAATATATTTTTTTTGTAGGAGAGACACCTATGCAAACTTGGTGTGCTCATTGGCTAGTATCCGTTTTGAGATAATATCAATTTTATACAATATTGGAGCAATACACAGCCAATTGGGCGCACGAACTGAAAGAAACAGTGCAGATGGAATGAAGATGGCATGTACTCATTTCCAGTGTGCAGCATGGGCTTTTGAACATTTGCGGAGTAGTTTTCCTCAGCCATCTGGTATTGATCTATCACCGGAATTAATGACTTTTATGCATCAACTTTGCTTGGCTCAAGCTCAAGAATGTATATTGGAAAAGAGCATGTTGGATAATCGTAAGCCAACAATTGTAGGTACGTTTCATCAGCCCCATTACGTGAGTCAATTATTATAGTAATTATTTAGTTCTATCTATTGTACAAGATATATGTATTATACAGCAAAAGTTGCAAAGCAAATAGTAGATTACTTCACCATGGCCCTAATCACATTGGAGCAAGGTGGAGCTGAAGATGGCACTATATCTGACACTGTGGGTAACAAAATTTATAAGGTGAGTCAAATATATAAATATAATTTAAATTAATAGTCTACATATTTGAATTACTCGATACATTTTTGTAAGAGAACCTGATTCTTTTTTTGAGATCGATAAAATTAAAAGTTAAATGATCAGCCTAAATATTTGCAGAGCTGGAAACGTTATGTCAAGTTTAAAAAAGCGTATCATATGGCTGTTACATATCTTTATCAAGGTCTTGCTGCAGAAGAACAAAGAAAAATGGGAGAACGAGTTGCTTTTTACAATGCCGCATTAGCATCCCTTAATGAGGCACATACAATCTATGATTTTGCAAACGTAAAAGAGGAAAAAGCTGCGGTAGAAGAATCCCTCACCTTTACAAATGATGTAATCGAAGGCAAGAGAAAAGCCGCTAAAAATGAAAACGAATTTATCTATCATGAAGAAGTGCCCGAAAAAGAAAGCCTTCCTACTGTGAAAGGCGCGTCTTTGGTTAAAGGAATATCATTTAATATAAACGATCCGGAGGTATCAGGACAAGATATATTTGCAAGGTAATTATGTATATTTTAATATTTTTAGAATATGTGCTATTTTTTGTTAAAAATGACAAGATTATTTTTTTCCTGTTATATTTTACTTGTAAAATCTTAATTTTACTTGTAAAACATTTATAGCCTTTCATTCATAGCCTAAATAATATTTATATGTTATTTCACAGACTAGTTCCTATGAAAGTACATGAAGCGAGTTCCCTTTATTCAGAGGAAAAAGCCAAAATATTGCGTTCAATTGGAGTCAAAATTGAGGAAAAAGATCAATATCTCAATACTTATCTTACTTCTTTGAAACTGGAACATATGAATTTATGGGATCCTGATTCACAATCTTCAGAATGGGAATGCTTACCTCTTCCAGAAGAATTAATCGAACGATGCGCTGCGCTTAATGCAAAACAACATATTATTCAAGATTTGGTAGATATTATGGGAAAATTATCTGAAACAAGTCAAGATGTTGAAAGAATTCTAAAAGAAATATCGAAATTTCTTTTGGATGAGGAACAGAAGTATGAATTAATTATTTTTTGCTTTTATTTCAAATTTGTATGTCTTTGATGTTATTCAATAATAATTAAGAAGTGTTATTAATAAATTAATTTTTAATATTTCATAGGGAAAAACAATACCAAGATGCAGTAGGCAAAAGACCGCCATCCATAGTAGCAACAGATTTAACTAGAGAAGCTAAAAAATATGAAGAAGCACATAACAAGGCTTCCGAGAGCAATCAAGCTCTTCATAAAGCAATAACCATGCATGTAAAGAATTTAAAAATTCTTGCACAGCCACTCGCTGATTTAATGGCTCATATTCCTTCACCAAACACACAACTTGCAGGTAACTCCTATATAAATTTCTTGCATGATATAATACATTTAATATATTATTATTAATTATATTGATATTTAATATATCCATATGTAATTATGGAATATGATCATAATCATTTAAATAACTCATTGAATTTATATTCAACATATAAATATAAATTAATAATTATTCATTTAGATCAAAATTCTGATCAAAAATCACAAAATGCGAAGGAAATAGAGAAAATGCATACTAAAGAGCTGAAACGTGTATTAAATAAAGTAGATGAAATGCGAATGCAGAGACTTGATCTTCATACCAAATTACGAGACCAAATTGCGCAGGATGATTTAACGCGATTACTAGTCACGGCTACATCCGAATCTGCCTCTTTGGATCGTCTATTTGCAGATCAGCTTAGCAAGCATCAAAGTTTGGTTAGTGAACTTTTACGTGAAAAATTGTCACATCTTTAATGAAATTTTTAATTTAATATCGGATTGCAGGTAAACTTGATAGAACAAAATCTTGCTGCTCAAGATAATATTTTAGCAGCTTTAACGGATGTCTATGCACAGACTGCCAATGTACGAAAAAATGTAGAAGAAGTACTGAAACGTAGAGAAATGACTATATCTTCTTTGATCAATTCTTATGACACGTATGAGGATTTGCTAGCGAAATCGAGCAAAGGTTTAGAATTTTATAGAAAATTAGAAATAAATGTTTCCAAGCTATTACAACGAGTTAAAAGTACATGTAAAGTTCAAGAAGAAGAGCGAGAACAGATACTTGCGCAGGATAGTAAGAATACATACGACAAAACAGATGCAACAATATCGACGACTTACGATCAAGGGCGTCCTCGATCTAGTAATGGCTTGAAATTGAAAGATTATTTGAACAGCAGAGTGGAAGGTGGTACTGGGTATCAAAATCCATATTACAATTTGTACAAAGGACATGCCACGTCGATGCAAATGGATTCGAAATCATTGGCAACTGATATGGAAAATAAGCATGCAATTCAATCTTCAAGTACAATACCCGTATCAGAAATTCCGTCCTCATCTGTGAAATCATCACATTATTATCCTACAACATATGCTGATTATAGAACAAATTCTCCATATTTGTATGGAGCGACTTATTATGAAAATCCAGTTGCTAATAGCATCTTAAGTCAGAACTACTTGCCAACTACTACGAGTACTGCGAGCATATATCAACAACCAACTCTATCCACGCCAACTGCGGGCGTATCAAGTGCACAATATCCTGCTAGTTCCTATCTACCCAATGGGCAAACTCTGTCCACATCTGCTATCGGTCAAGACAAATTCCGCGACGTCTCGCATTCTAACTACAATGTTTCTAATATTGCTTTACAATACACTTATCAGTCGCCGACGGGTTATAATAGCTATAACATCACAACACCATATATTGTTAATCAAGAGAAAGTTGCAATTAAAAGCGGAACAGCGGAGACGACGCCACAGGTTCAGCAAGTATCGCAAATGCCGCCTGTTTCTACGATCAGCGCGACGAACAGCTCCGTATCGGCAGATGTCGGGCAAACGTCTTACGGCATTGTGCAACAAGCTCAGCAATACGATAATCAACAGAAGACGACTCTAAGCCAAGAGATGTATCACGGCGGTCAGAATGCTGCAAGACTTCAAACAACGATGCCAGCAAAAGATAATACATTGACGCAAAACTATCCACTCCCTCAAACTGGCCATTCTGAAATTACGTATCCACAAAATTATCAAAACACCGCGTATTATAATCCGGCGGAATTGCAAACCCAGCGAGTCCCGTATACTCAGGGCACATGTACTCCAGATACGACTGTCGTTCCTCCGACGCAATATATACAATCACAGCAACCGAGTACGAGCGATCAGTCTGCACATTCCGTAGTATCGACAAGCGAAGTCTCGGTATCGTACCCTTCGAATTTACATGATGTTAATCCTGTCCAGTATCCGCAGCAGACCGGTACAGAACCGGGTAAACAAAATTACACAGACAAAACGTACGTCGCTTACGGCACGCAAGTGCAGATGAACACTATCACACCGAATTATCCTGGTACTTATCAAAATTATCAGCATGGAGTTACTGGTACGCCATATCAACAAGCTAGTATGTTACCGGGAGACGCGTCCAACACATACGCCTATATAAACAATTCGAGTAGCTCGGAAATGATACAGAGCCACGCGAAACCAACGACGGTGCAGAGTTACTCACAATCGTATCAATATTCGCAGCAAATTCCTTATTCAGGATATGTGCAATATCCGAATTATTCACAGGATCAAAATTATGCCTACATGCAAAGCGCACATGGAATAAATACGATGGCGTACACGTATAATTCTGCTAGTCAGGGCTATACTTATGCGTCCAATCCCCAAGATACTCAGACTCCTCAGACGTTAGAAGCTACGGTTTCGGTAACATCCTCCAACGTTACGGCTAGTGCCATGTATCAACAGCAGGAAACAAATGCAAGATACACAAACGCGGGCAATAACGCCGTGGTCAGTCAAACGCCATCCTCGCAATACAGTCAAGTTTATCAGCCGCAAACACAAGCCGAAAACGATACGTATTATACTATGCCTTACGGTCTTCAAATGCAAGGTCAAGGTAAGTTTCTTTAATATCGTCATTGCTTATTCTTATGTATTAATTTAATTTATCTTGTTTCAGCTGGTTCGGTAATGAGACCTGAAAATTATACCAATTACAATCAAACATATATGCAGGCCGTGAATAATGGAACGAACACAACAACAAGTGCTAATCCGATGAAACTTACGACCAAATTCGAAGAATCAAAATCGAATGTTGATCTTCTTTCCGATCTCGATATTACTATAAATCATGCTCCTCTCGTGCCAGAAGTACGACCTCTTTCTACAACACAGAAGAAAGAGGAGGCAGTGACGGACGATACTACGGAAAATGATAGGGTAGAAAAAAACGAACAAGACGAAGCCTGTAAGACTGAACAGGAAGCAGCAGCTTCCATCGAAGATAAAAGTAATCATGAGAACTTGCAAATTGTATGGGATACATGGTACAATGACGTTCAACCGAAGAAAGATCCTCTAGGAGAACCAGCAGCATTACAAAAATTTAATAATGATGTTGAGAAATATGAAAAATTTGTAAATAGTTTACTCGTAAAAACCTTAAGTGGTGCTACGAATCTTGATATTAAATGGAAAGAAGTTCAAGATTTTGAAGTAAGTTTGAAATAGATTTCATTAGTTACATTTTACAATCAAATTTTACAATCAAAGATCACATTTTTAGAAAAATACGTAAACATGTTCACAAGAAATCTTTTCTTTTTTTAGGAACGAGAAAATGGGAAACAGTCAAGCACAGTAGCGTTAGCTCATTCGTCCGAAAATCGAACAGTTGATTGTATTCCATATGACACAACTCGGGTGCAAATATTATCATCAGATGTTTCGTCATACATAAATGCGTCTCACATTATGGAAATTACACAGTGGATACCTACAGCATTTATCATAACTCAAACACCTTTAACAGATAAATTAGATGTCTTTTGGACGATGATCTGGGAACAAGAGAGTGAAGTTATTGCATGTTTAGCATCTGATGCTCAGGTTTGTATATAAAAATATATATTTTTATAATAAAATTGAGAAAGACTATTGGAATTTTTCATTTAAATTTTATCATATTTTATTATTATATTTTTCAAAAATTATGTATTCCAATAATATATTTTTTGCAGTTGAATGGAGAATTATATTGGCCCATAAATGAAGAAAATAATTTAGATGTGGGAAATTTTATTATTTCGCTAAAGAAAATAATTAATCATACAACTTACATTCAAAGAACTCTTTCTATACAACATAACAAAAAGAAATCTGAGAGAATCGTTGTGCACATGCAATTTCTTGTGTGGCCTTCTAAGTAAGTTGACTATAATTGAAATACCTAGATAATACAGCGGTTAATACGTCTTACTTTTCCAGCGGTTTTCCGAGTAGTCCTGGTGCAATACTTGCATTTTCAAGCGATGTGATGACAGAGCAGGCATTAAGACGTTGCTCTCCTAAGCCTGTAATTGTACATTGTTTAGACGGTGGTTCATTAAGTAGTCTGTTTTTATTAGCTGCTGCAACAGTATGTCATATACGAGCGGGTTGTGGTATCGTGGATGTACCACTGGTTTTTAAAGGCCTTGCAAAATGTCGCAAACAAGTTGTGAATAAGGAATCATTATTATTTGCATATAGACTAGTATTGTATCACGCTCAGGATATTTTAATGAAACGTAAGAAGAAATAATTTATTATATTATTTAATGAAACTATTCCAATAATATGTTTTGCTTCGTCTTAGGCGGTATTCTATCATCTACTCGAGCCACATTCGACAATTTGGATGGCTTTAAAGGAAATAAGGAGAAAACATCACGAAAATTACAATGTCATCCTTCGGATGATTTTCTTCATAATCTCGGCGTGGGGATACGTCCTGATTCTGAGCAACCAGGTATACAATCATCAAAAATATCATAAATCGATTTTAATATAAATTTTAGAATTTTAATGAAAATTTATAAATTATTAGTTTACATCTTTTAGAATTTTTCAATTCTTTTTACTTCAGGGAAAACAACACAAACAATTTTAACAAGTGACAACACATCAAATAAAAGCTCATCGTCGCAAGAAAAATCTAATGGTGGAATCATTGATCCTTTGAATCAATTGGATCCTTTATGGTCCATTAGAAGATAATTATACAACGCTAGGAATATAAATTCCATTATGCAGCTTTAAACGATTATTTAAACGAAATAGGCATTCCTATCTTTGTTAAAGTGATTAATAAAAATATCAAGCTAGACTTTTTCAGACAGCTTGTATAAATAATGTTATAATATGGAAGATTAAAGAGTAATCGATGCATCTAAATTAGCCTTGAAATAAAAGACATTTATTCAAGTATTTGTGTGCTCTAATCCTTAAGTTTTAACAGTTTTACAATCTGTTAAGTATATAAAATAAAAAAAATATAAAATACATGCCTCCTACTTGTATTCATTTCTCATGTTTATACATTTCAATTGGCTTAAACAATGCAATCTAATTGCATTGCTTTATTCATATTTTGATACATTTAGGCTATATAATGTACGATTCATTCAAGTAAATAATACTTGCATTTACTTAGCTTTCCAATATAACTAATTTAAATATTCCTGATTATTTCCTATTTTCATAACAAATTATAATTTAATGTAAACTTATGAAATATTTATTTCATAGAACATAACTCTTTTGCAGATAACAAATATATTTTAAAATAAGATATAATTATTCGATAATATATAACGCGAAATATTTATTATAGAGAAAATTCTTTTCTATTTAAAGCATAGGTATATACTAATATTCATAAACAAATATGTTATTTTAATAGTCATGTTATTCACAATATTTGATGATTTTTAAGGACGCTGCCGAAATATGCTAAACGTATATATTTCAAAATTCTAATAAATTGCATATAGCAATATTTATATTTATGTTGTATCTTTTATTTTTATGACATTTCATTTATAAAAATTTCAGTTATAACGCAATGAGCAATAATACATGTATGTATTAATTTCCATAATAATTATCATGACACTCATATATAACTGAAAGTTAATAGAAAGTCAAAAGATTTATGATGTTATGACAATAGATTTTTGTATATGCAATTTCTGATGTTAAGAGTACTTTAAGTTCCCCTATTTTTCAAATCTTTCACTTTGTAAATTCGCACGAGCCAGTGCTCCGTCGTGTACGCTTCTTCTAATGTATTCAATTCAAAATCTTTGTTTCCAATCTCCATGTTCCTTACCCTGTCATAACCTGAAGGCTTGCCTATTCGAAAAATTCAATGACACAATAATAAAATAATCGCTAGAAAACTGATTTGTGAACTATAGTTTTAATAACATGAAGAATCTTACCGCCTTCAGTGTAGACTTGACCAAATCTGTAATAACACATTTTGTACATGAGACAATTGAGCAAAATTGGAGATCCTTCTTTGTCCACTCGGAATTCGCCCGCGGAGTTATAGTAATCCCATTCGGTTATAGATTTTCCTTTTTCTGTACTACCGCCAATGCGCACCATCCATAGGAACTTATTTATGTCTAATCAAAATACATAATGTTAATATCAATAATACATAATTAATATTAATATCAATTTTTTACAATACAATGTATAAAAATAATTAAATCAAACAATTAATTTCCGTTTGTCAATTACAGCAATTTAAATATCAAAATGATACGTCATAAAATATATTTACCATCTGATGAGTAACCAGTGAGTCCTCCAAAAATTACAAGGACATAGTTGACGTCTAATTCTCTCATGATCTCGTAAGCTTTTTCTTCGGAACTTGCCATTGCCTGACCAACTCTTGATATGTGCGTGTTATTCCATGTATTATTGTCTACTAAAATAGTACGATTTGCCATTGCAGTTATCTGATACCCATAGTCCCACCAAGACATTATTTTAGCATTCTGAAAAGAAATAAGATTTATAGATATATTTATAGATATGGTCTTATTCAGTAAGAAATTTATATTTTTTGTCATATACTTGATTCATAATTCTAATATAAATATTTAATTGTTTACATCTGAAATACAAAAGAAAACAACTAATAGCGTTTACCTCAGGTGTATTCATACGTAGCCAATAGTAAGCTTCTCTAAAATCATCGAAAATCATTCGTCCACCGTCAGGCGACCGTGCAGATAATACAATGCTAGGCGAACTATACGCCTCTGCTGTAACCCACGTGCAGTGGAAGGTATAAGATAAAAAGAGTATAGACATCACTACGATGAAAAATGAGGCAATCTGTAAATATGTTCTTATATTAATATTGCATTATTTTTCCAACACATAAATGTTACTTTTAGGTATTTATTTTTCGGAATATTAGAAACTCCTCTGATTTACCTCACTTCTTAAGATGTAATTATTTTCAAACTTCTTGGCTTTTTTATCAACAACTTTTCCACTTTCAACTTGTTTCATATAAGTAACTAGTAGAGAAGATGCTCCAATTCCACCCAAAATGCACATTACTGGAGCAAGTACTAACATTAAACGTACCATTACTCCCTAAAATTTTAAATAAAAACTAAGTAAGTATGTATATGTTATGTAAATAAAATATATGTAAGAAAATAAAATATGTAATATATATATATATATATATATAT